GCTCCTCCTAGCAGTGAACGTTCTGCCTTAGTTGTGAACCAGGGTGGCTTTCAGTCTTCTCGTGGCAGTGGTGGTCGTTTTACCCGTGACCGTGGCCGTGGTCGAGGCAGAGGCAGAGACTTTAAGCTTTGCACTCACTGCGGTCTTACTAATCACACTGTCAATTACTGTTGGGATCTTCATGGGAAACCGCCACCTTCTTCCTATGCACATCAAGTGACTTCTACTAATGGAGATTCTTCTCTCTCTGCCACACCCACTGCTCCACATGTGGCTGTTGAGACTGCTATGGTCATGATTCCCCGCGATGAGTATGCTTAGTTTCTGTCTCAACAACAGCCTTCCACCTCATCTTCCATGGGGTCCTTGGCCCAATCAGGTCGTGCCCCTGCATGTCTTTTGTCCTTTAGTCAAAGTCCCTGGATTCTTGACTCTGGCGCATCCGATTACATGACTGGTAGTTCTCATCTCTTCTCTGATTTTCAGTCTGTTCCTTCGTCTCAAAGTGTTACTCTTGCTAATGGATCATCAACTAAAGTTTTAGGTTTGGGAACTATTCATCTCACCTCTTCTATGTCCCTTTCCTCTGTGTTATATGTTCCTCAATTTCTTTTTAATTTGTTGTCCATTAGCAAAATTACTAAATCTCTTAACTGTTCCATTACATTTTACCCTACATGTTGTCTTTTTCAAGATCTCAAGACAAAGAAGAGGATTGGTACGGGACATGAAATAGGTGGCTTGTATTACTTCGATCTTGCACCATCTCCTATGGCTCTTGAATCATCTTTGTCTTCTTTCCAGTGGCACTGTCGTCTTGGCCATCCATCACTATCCGTTTTGCAGCATGAAGTCCCCGGTCTTAGTCGTATTGAGTCCATGTCTTGTGAAACATGTCAGCTTAGTAAGCATTGTCGTGTATCTTTTAAACCGAGAGCTAATAATCGTGTTGCTAGTCTTTTTCAATTAGTTCATTTAGATGTATGGGGACCAATAAAACATATTTCTATTAATGGATTTCGTTATTTTGTGACTTTTGTGGATGATCATTCTCAGATAACTTGGTTGTTTTTAATGAAAAATCGTTCTGAGTTGTTTTCTATTTTCCAACTATTTCGCAAAGAAATAAAACTCAATTTGGGCGTTCCATTCAAGTTTCACGTTCTGACAATGCCAAAGAATATTTCTCTGATCCTTTTGAGGCTTATTTTCATGCCAAAGGCATCATTCATTAATCCTCTTGTACTTATACTCCGCAACAAAACGGAGTAGCTGGACGTAAAAATCGTCATCTCCTGGAAGTTTGTCGTGCCCATTTATTCCATATGCATGTTCCCAAACGATTTTGGAGTGATGCTGTTCTTACGCCATGTCATCTTATTAATCGGATGCCCTCGTCAGTGTTAAAAGGTAAGTCTCCTCATTCTGTTCTATTTCCCGACTCCGTATCGTTTAATCTGACTCCGCGAGTCTTTGGCTGTGTGTGTTATGTCCATAACCTTGGATCCAGTCTTGATAAACTCGATCCTCGTGTCACTAAGTGTGTTTTTCTTGGGTATTCTTGCACTCAGAAGGGCTATTGTTGTAACAGTCCTCATTTTCAACGCTATTTCACTAGTGCTGATGTAACATTTTCTGAGTCTCTACCATATTTTTCTGATTCTACTCCTCCTCTCGATATTACTTCTGAGCCACCTTTGCCAACGGTTGTATCTCCGCTTCCTGCTTCCGCACCTCCTCGCTCTGCTGTCCCATTGCAGGTTTATACTTGACAACCTCGACTGCCTACTTCGCTCCCTCCATCTCTTTCAGAGTCTTCGGATTCGACGCCTTTACTTGATGATTTGCTTATTGCTCTCCCTAAAGGTATTCGGTCGTGTGTTACTGCACATCCCATTTCTAACTTTGTCTCCTACCGTCATATTTTATCCTCTTTATCTTGTTTTTTATCCAAAGTATCTGCTACTTTTGTTCCCAAGACTGTGCAGGATGCTCTCTCTGATTTGGGTTGGTGACAAGCCATGGTGGATGAAATGGATGCCCTTCACCGTAATGAAACATGGGATCTTGTTCCCTTACCTCCGGGCTCCAAAACAGTTGGTTGTAAGTCGGTCGACACAGTTAAATACCTTCACGATGGATCTATTGAGCGGTTGAAGGCTCGTCTAGTGGCAAAGGGGCACACTCAGACTTATGGTGTTGATTATGATGAGACTTTTTCCCCTGTTGCTAAGATTTCTTCTATTTGGGTTCTTATTTCCATTGCTCTCAATTGTAACTGGCCGTTGTTTCAATTGGATGTCAAAAAATGCCTTCTTACATGGTGACCTAGTTGAAGAAGTTTATATGGAGCAACCACTTGGGTTTGTTGCTCAGGGGGAGTATCGTCGCACTCTTTGTCGTCTTAAAAAGGCCCTGTATGGATTGAAACAATCTCCACGGGCTTGGTTTGGAAAATTCTCTAAGGCGGCATTAGAATTTGGTCTTAACAGATGCCAGACCGATCATTCGGTATTTCACCTGCGCACTAAAGCTGGCTTCATTTTTCTTGTGGTGTATGTAGATGATATTGTGATCACAGGTGATGATTCTGCAGGTATTGCTAAGTTGAAGTTGTTTCTGCAAAATCGATTCCACACTAAAGACTTAGGTAAACTTAGGTACTTCTTAGGTATTGAAGTTGCTAGATCCAAGGAAGGTATAAGTTTATCTCAACGAAAATATGTGTTGGACTTGCTAGAAGAAACGGGTATGTTAGGTGGTCGTCCAGTTGATGCTCCTATGGATTCAAATACAAAACTTGTATCTGATGAGGGTGATCTATTTAATGACCCAGGCAGATTTCGTCGCCTTGTTGGGAAATTAATTTATCTCACTATCACTCGACCTGATATTTCATATGCAGTTAGTGTTGTAAGTCAGTTCATGGGAGCTCCTAGAATGCCACATTGGATTGCCGTTCTTCAGATTATCCGATATCTCAAGCAAGCTCCAGGTTTTAGGTCACTATACAAATCAAATGGTCATCTTAGGGTGGAAGTTTTACAGATGCTGACTAGGCTAGTTCTCCTTCAGATAGGAGATCTACTACAGGCTACTGTACATTTGTAGGCGGAAATCTTGTTACGTGTAAAAGTAAAAAGCAAACGGTGGTAGCTCGATCTAGTGCTGAAGCTGAGTACAGGCAATAGTCTATACCACTAGTGAGTTGACATGGATACAGAATTTTCTAAAAGAACTTAGGTTGACAGTTGAAGCTCCTACTCCATTGTTCTGTGATAACCAAGCAGCTGTTCACATTGCATCAAATCCTGTGTTTCATGAGAGGACCAAACATATTGAGGTTGATTGTCACTTCATTCGGGAAAAAATATTAGGTGGGAGTACCTCTACTCCATTTGTGAAGTCTGAAGATCAACTAGCTGATATGTTTACCAAAGCACTGGGTCATAACCGGTTAAGGACTATCTATTCCAAGCTGGGATTATTTGATATATATTCTCCAACTTGAGGGGGAGTGTTAGAATGTTTATGTATATATATATATTCATGTTCGGTCATTATGTAAATACCCATAGTTGTTAGGATCACTGTGTAATTAGGTAACCTTGTATAATTAGGTTATTTGTTTTCCCTTTATATACGCCACTGTAGGCTTAAGGGCTATGTGTGTGAGAAATACACAAATATAGATTTTGCTCTTTCTCTCTCTCACAAACTCGAACACACACAAAGAATGCCACCCTAGTAGGTGCCGAAGAGCGCTATATAGTTTTCCAAGGGAAGTCAAAGCTAACAAATTTAGACAGGCATAAGAACAAGGATCTTACTTCAAAACGACCGTGAGAAGAGGGAATCTATATCAAATTGTCATGCCCACTACTAATTCCTTCCTGCCGATACAATTGGTCCAAAAAAATACTTACCTTGTTCAACTCCCAGTCTTGAAATGACCGCCTCAAGTGCACATTCCACGTAATTCCACTATTATCAAGCCGATAACAGTCAACCACGTAGGCATGTATGTCAATTGCAATACTGTATAATCTGGGAAATGTGCGAAATAATGGCTGATCCCCACACCAAAGATCTTCCTAGAAACAGACGCATCTACCATCACGAACTTTGAATCTAATATGAGAAGAAAAGCATCCCATCCCTTCCGAATGGATTTCCAAGCCCTAACTCCTCCTGTAATAGAAACCGGGCATGTAGTCCAACCGCCAACGTCTTCCCCATACCGACAAGATACTAACCTTCGCCAAGGACGATGCCTTTCCTTCCCGAATCTCCATAACCATTTGCCCAAAACAGCTTGATTAACAGGAATCAATCGTCTAATACCAAGACCACCCAACTTCATAGGCTTGGAAACTCGCTCCCATCTGATAAGGTGATACTTGAACTCTTCTCCCCTTCCACACCAGAGAAAATCCCTTTGAATTTTTTCAATCCTTTCAGCAACGGAGCATGGAATTTGGAACATAGAAAGAAAATATGTGGGAAGACTAGATAAAGTGCTCTTGATAAGAGTTACTTTGCCCCTCTTTGACAAATATTGCTTTTTCCATCCTACCTTGCATACCTGTCGAGCACAGAGTCCCAACTCCCCACTAACCTTGAGGAGACCCCTAAAGGCAAACCTAAATAAGGAATAGGAAAGGAACTAACCCTGCAGCCAAGTACTGCAGCTAAAGAAGAGATATCCTGAACATTCCCAACAGGGATAAGCTCACTCTTAGCCACGTTTACCTTTAGCCCGGAAACCACCTGAAAACAAGCTAGACTGCACCTCAAATATCTAAGTTGAGACACATCTGCATCACAGAAAACCAAAGTATCATCTGTAAATAGCAAATGAGAAATCTCCACCTGATGGTCAATATCTCTTCTAACCCTGAATCCATTAATGAGCCCAAGATTCTCTGCCCTGCGCATAAGTCTGCTAAGGCGCTCCATGACAATAATAAAGAGGAAAGATGACAATGGATCACCTTGTCTTATTCCCCGAGAACATTTACAAGAATTGAGAACTTGACAAACGAAAGACATGTCTCAATCCATTTCCTCCATTTGCTTCCAAACCCCATTCTTTGTAGCAAATAGAGGAGAAAATTCCAGTTAACATGATCATAAGCTTTCTCAATATCAAGTTTGCATAGAACTCCAGGAACACCATTGCCTAATCTTGAATCCACACATTCGCCTGCAATAAGAACTGAATCAAGAATTTGCCGACCTCCAACAAAAGCATTCTGGGAGTCTGTAAATACAACCCACCAAACTGATAAGACGAAAATCCTTAATGTCAGAAGTGCTTCCTTTCTTAGGGATGAGGGCAATAAATGATGCATTTAGCGACTTCTCAAAGACACCAGTAGAATGGAACTCCTGAAAGGTACCCATCACCTCACCTCTCACAACCGCCCAACTTTCTATAAAAAAATGCATAGTAAACCCATCAGGCCCCAGAACTTTATCCCCATTACAACTTGATAAGGCTTTTGGAACTTCTTCTTCAGTGAAAGGAAGCTTTAACCCCTCTCTCTCTAACTCAGAAAAAGCATCAAAAGGGAGTCCATCAAGTTTGGGTCTCCAACCTAAAGGTTCTGTGTAAAGCTTCTGATAAAAAGAAACTATCCCATTACTCACCTCTTCCTCCCACCACAGCTCCACACCTTCCACTCGAATGCGTCCAGTGTGATTACTCCTTCTATGACCATTAGCTAATATGTGAAATTTTTTTGTGTTACGACCCCCTCTTTCAACCAAAGAGCCCGGGATTTTTGTCGCCATGAAATCTCTTCCATACTAGCAATCTCAACAAGAGCTGCCTGACAGGAAGCTCTCCTAGTAACCCTTGCTAAGACCGCCTGAACAACATGATCAGAGATAACCCTTGCTAAGACCGCCTGAACAACATCCGGGAATTTTTCTTCCTATTCCCCAGAGATCAGAAATCTGTCCAGTCTTGAGAGAGTAACTGGATCCCTGCCACTAGACCAAGTAAAGGTTGCACCTTCCATTGGTAGATCAAAAAGAAGATGCTTATTAATGAAGTCAGAAAACTGATCCATATCTACGGACCTCCTTCCCCCAGTAGACCTCTCTGACGGGGACATAACAGAATTGAAGTCCCCACCCAAACACCAAGGGAGAGGCCACATTCCTTGAACATGGCTTAGCTCCTCCTAAAAAATAGGTCTCTCATTATCAACAAGCGGTCCATAGACCCTAGAAAAGACCCATATGAAATCATCATCTTCCATTTTAAACTCACAGGAAATAGAAAATCTCTCCATCCACACATCCATTCTAGACAACCATCTGTTGTCCCGTATAACTAAAATTCCACCCGAAGAACCTGTAGCATCCAAAGCCTCCCATTCCACAAATCTTCCTCCCCATAAGCTTCTAACCACCCCGTCAGAAATGGATGCCAACTTGGTTTCTTGCAAACAAACCACCTGAGCCCCCCATTTCCTTAAAGCTACCTTCACTACCCTCCTTTTATTCAGGTCATTGAGACCACAAACATTTTAAGTAATAATTCGTAGCTTCATTAAAAACCAGATAAGAGTAACTCCCCTCCCCCCTTCTTTAAACTCCTACTTCTGGTCCTTCCCCTTTCCTTCACCACCCCTTTCTTCCCTTCATAGTTAACTTCAGAAATTAGATTCTTGACCTCTTGTGCCCCTTTCCAAGACGATAGAGGCCTAGTATTCATTACCTCAGTGGTCACAGCAATCTCTCTTCCTTCCACTATATCATGAAGGATAGATAAAGTCTTATCGTTATTACCTTCTGATGAGACACCCAACAACTCGCTAGTGGCTCCTATATTATCAATCACCCAGTCCTTTCGTATATTTGCAGAAGAATCAGGTTGCAAAACAGCCAAAGGTTCTACATTGACGCATTCATCCTCCAACCAAGGGGCTAGCTCATTAGAGTAAACCTGTTGGATAGAACCGAGGTCATCATTATCTTCAGTATCTCCTCCATTGTCAAACACCGAACCTGTGATATAGTCTTCTACTCCATTAGCCAAATATCTAACAAGTGCATTCTCCTCTGTCCCTATAGTTGGCAAACAGTTAAGACCTTCCAAGGCTACACGCATGAGACTAACAGATTCATTCTCCGCAGCCCCTTCAGAAGGCAAGCAAAGGCCTTTTAAGGCTACATGCAGACGGAGTTCTTTAAACAGAGCCAAAGCCTCAACATTAGATAATTGAAAATGGAGATCCCTCCCCACACAAACTGTAACCCCCTTAGATGAATCCTTAACTGCGCATTCCCCTGGATCAACATTCCCTGAATCAGTCCTGAAAGCAGCCCTTCCTTCCGTATTCGATCCAAACTCAGCTTCAGGTATAACCGAGAGCGCACTGCACTTCTCCTTTACCAGTTCAATTTCCCTCCTCACCACCCCATTAGAAGGAGAAGAAGAAGAAGGAGCGTATGGAGGTCTTTTGAGATGGTGGGTCGAAGACATACCTGGAGCATTAGTGGATGTCCACTTCTGCTTTTCTTTTCTGTACCATCTAGCTCCATGATTAATTCTGTGAGAGTCTTGAACCGGAAGTCTGGTACCGGCGCAACACTGAGAGTGGCGAGAATCCTTCTCAACAAATTTTACACCTGTCTCGGCTGCAGAGAGATCCATCCATCTCCTCTTCTCCGGCGAATTCCAAAAAGTTGTAGAGATACCATTGAGGCTTCGACTCTGTGAATTGCTACGCCCTGTGGTTGGGCTAGGCTTATGATTAAGAAAAGAGACTGAGATAATGTTATTAGGCCCCGCATAACCTTTCTTTTTGGGTTGCTCACTTTTGGCTTGAGTTTAGGCTTGGCTAAAGTTGGTGGGTTCGACTTCTCATTTGAGAATGATAACTGGTTGCTAGGCCCCCACTTAACAGCCCTCTTAAACTCCAGTGGGCCATGATGAACCAACCCATTTAGCTTAGAGCGCGCTTCAGGCCCACGTTTAGGCCCAGCCAAGGCCACTGCATGAATGGCTCCTTTAAAGCCACGATCCCGTCCACGTGGTTGGTAACCGTTGAAGCGGTCAATACGAGATGATGATGGGCACTGATTGAGGGCGTTAATGACACGGCTCTTGGTTCGGCCTTCTCCACTCGCTTCTGGTGCGTGGGCAAGCAATCGTCTCTTCCTTTCAAATCCCTGATGGGTCTGTAAACTCCGGTGACTTCCATCCATAATCGTTGCAGCAGCCGGGAGGTGAGGACTCTCCCTGACGCCATAATAGGACTTAGGAAAAATGCGGGGTGGTATTTCCTCTAACAACCCTAAAGGCCACTCTTTGATCCTCCATGAAGACATACTCCAGCATCACTTTTCCGGAGGAAACATAGAGGAGGATTCTCTCCCCACTCACCGAAACGTCCGCCTCAACACCTCGAAGACCACCACATAAATTTCCAATTGCTACAAATAACTTATGGCACCATAGGTGGAGAGGCAAACCAAACATCACGCTTTGTATTTCCCGATCATTCACTGCAGAACACCTAGCCGCGAAGTACCAAATATCGATGGACAGCAAGGCATCGCCCCACCTCTTCTTCCCTTCTTCCAGAAGCCTTAGGCCTCACTCTCCGATGGAAACCTAAACAGGAATAATTCATCAGGTAGGGGAGAAACTTTCACCCCACTCGAAATCTTCCAAGCTTTCGTAGCCCACGCCTCGATCCCTTCTAAGCATCCCACATCTCTATCAAAGCGACCTACCAAACATGATCGCTAGGCTGATTCTCGTTCCTTGATGCTTTGGTGATCAACCCTAAAAACCGGATCATTGACAATAGTACAACTTTTGATTTCTCCATGAAAATTGAGGCACGGTAAGGTTGCGACACTGAGATAGGATCGATACATAGGCTGTTTGTGTTATCTCTCATAGTTCTTTCATAATTTTGGTGGTGTTAATAGTATTTTGTGTTATAGAGGCTTAATTAGTTGTTTCATTTTTCTTTTATGTTACTTTTTTTATCAAATTATTGATGGATTTATTATTTTTGTCGTGTATAATGGCCTTTTCTTTCAATGTTGAATGGAGGAATATCGTACTTTCTTGGTTCATCTTATATTCTACCCCAGAGAATCCTTCTTATCGTGGATTTGCTCAATGATTGGGTAAATTTGTTCCCAAACTTCATAAACCCAGTACACTTGGTAGACTGTAACTTTTGATAACTGTACTAAATATTAATTGTCTAAAAACACCCTATTATAAGTTGTTCCTTTGTTGTATTATGGCCTTTGCTTTTATTCTTGTCCTAAAACCCTCTCTTTTATATAAATTCTCTCTGTAACTCTTCATGTTGTCACATAAAGAGAAAACTTGGGAAAATTTTGGAAGCAAATTCCGGGTCACTGAATTTAGTGTTCTAGAGCAAGATATGTTTCATGTTTTGCAATGCAACAAAATTCAGATTGGTTTTTTGCTTTTAGTGAGTTAACACTTTTATTTTTTTTATGTATGGTTTTATGCTTTTAATTTCGTCAAAGAACTAAAGAAGAGGCTGACGAAGTAGGGGAGGAAGATAATTTGAAACAACACAATCTTTTGGACTATGTGGCCCATAATTGAGTGAAGAATGCTTGATTAGGATAAATGAAAAAACCCTTCTCTGGGAGCATTGGGCCTTCATCAGTTTCTAGTGAGAGACATTTTCGTGCTTAAGAATTGATTAATTTAAGTAGAAATTAGTATTTCATAAATGCTTAGGCTGTGAAGCGTGAGAATGCGGATTGAATATAGAGAGTAGGCACTTTGTGCAAATAGTGCCAACGTTTATGTCTGTATCCTATCTGCCCATTCCAATACCCTTGAGTAACGGGGAGTTAATTTTGTAATGACCCTTTTTTCAGTAGAAACTAGTTTGATTTGTTACCTTGCTTATTTGATGTCATTTTGTGTTTTCACCTTGTGCTATTTGCTGCATATTCGTTTTTCTTCACATTAATCCATGCTTTGTAAACTAGAGCTTCTATTTGCGAGCTACGGATAGTTAGCTTGTAATTAGAGATGGTTCTCAACGGAGTCTCTTCAGTTAGCACATTGAAAATCATTAAGATAGTTGTTCATCCCCTCCCTATTGGGATATCTTGCTCTAATGTTTGTATCTGTTTCCGGAGATTGTGGTGTGGACCTTAATTTTAATTTTTATTTTTTTGTAAATCCAATAATATATTGGAGTTGATAAAACGGTACCTAAAACAGCAAGTTGCTAGCCTTGAGAATAGCATGAAGCAGAAAGACTGGTTAGAAGATCTAAACAGTAAGGACTAAGGTCCAAGGAGCTGAGATGTAGTTTTCCGTTCTTTTTATTCATTTATTTCTGTTAAAGAATTCAACATGTTAACTGGTCTACCTCTGTCTCGGTGTCTTTTGGTCTTGATTTTCAATCCACAGGTCAAAGTCTCAAGACTGCTGGGTGGAGGAGAAAAAAAACAAAGAATCCAATATTAGAAATTGTACTAGAACTGGCGAAAGCTGCATGTTTCTTTGATGGGTATTATGTTGAAAACCGTTGAAGCAAAGATGTGGCGTTGTCGTCTTCTGATGTTTAGTTGGAGCCTTTTAGTGGTTGCTTGACTGGGAATCTTTAAATCCAAAGAGAAGGCAGGTTATGGTATGTGAGTTCAACTAGAATCAAATCAAGTTAGTTCCTTTTCTGTTGTATGCGTTTAGTTATTTTCTTAAATGTCATGTATTTTGAGTCCAGCTACAATCAAATCAAGTTGGTCCCTCTTTCTGTTGTATGCTTTTAATTGTTGTCTTAAATGTCATGTATTGTGAGTTCAGCTACAATCAAATTAAACTATGTTCCTTTTCTGTTGTATGCTTTTAGGTATTTATTGTCTTTAAATGTCATTCCATCGAATCCATCCTAGTACTGGTTTGGAGGAGGTTCCTCCATCCTACTATGGAGGCAAGTGTTTGTTCATACCTAGATGTACTGATTTAATGAGTGATGAAAGACAAGTAAAACTAAAATTATATATATATATATATATGTATAGTAATTATGCCATAAATTTCTAGCCTCAAACATCTACTTCCTGTTTCAAATTTATGTAAAGGTGTGTCAATAATCAATATATATATGTACACACACATATATTCTCTATTTTTTTGTTTTATTGAGATTAGCATGATTATTTAATGATGGGAGATGGATGCATAGAAGTATATATACCAATAAGAGGGAGGTGGGATAATACATGGTAGTAGCTTTTACTGAATGCCACCACTACAAAAAATGTCTACTTTTATTACTCCCCAAACCCACACACCAAACACAGCTTCAAATTATTTGTTGTAGCATCAATAACATTATTAACAGCATACATGATTTTATGAACTTCAACTGAATCAGACAATACAATTTTTTTTTTTTTTTTTTTTTTTTTTCTAAAAAAGGAAAGTTCCTTTCTCAAATTGGTTTAGAGGAGGATACGATCATTCCGCTTGCCGAAAACGCCCTTGCCATAGGTGGATTTGGAGATGTCCCAAAGAAGGGGAAATTGTGATGACATAAACAAGATGCCAGGTAAACATGAAAATGCGGTAATAGGACCAAGAATCCATGATTTCCTCTCTCCAAACACGAGATATAGTGTGGCACCAAAGGCTACCATCATGGATATTATGGAGATGAATAGGGTCATCAAACCAACAATCAACCTCCTAGGTAAGACTTCGAGAAAATCTTCTTCCGCATAGCGCGAAGTGAGAATTGACAAGAACATTAATAAGGAAGAAGTGGACGAAAAGAGTGCAATTGCATCCGACATGCCAAAGGTTAGAAAAACTTTATCTTTGGTGAAAATTGGATGGCCGTTATCGCTACTGTTTCCACCAGGCACCGTGATGGCAGCTGCAAATACTATAGTAACAATGAGAGCGGCTACAATTGTGCATGAGTTGGCTGTATCTTTCATCCATCTCTCTCCCTCTTTCATCAACTCCTCGTGTGTCTCACTGAATTTCATTTTGGGTTCCTCTATTTTAGGATCTCGGTAGTCTTTGTAGAAATCCAATGAAATTTTTTCTACTTCCTGCAGTAAAATGAATGAATTTGACATTAAATAGCTCTTTGATCAAGCTATAAGTTCAGTTCAGAATTGAAAATATGGGATGGTGCAAAGAAATTTAGTATTTCTTATGTTTTATTTATTTATTTATTTTAGAATTTATTTATATATATAGCCAATGCATTCATGCCCCATAAATGAAAAGGGGGAGAGCTTATAACTTCTGACAAAATCAACTTTTAGAGCATAATACTAAATATTAAAAAAAAAAATATTGTTATGCACTTTTTAATTTAAAAAAAAAAAAACGAATCGTTACCTTAAACCATTGTAATTCACGCTGCATTTGTAAAGCTGCACCGGGTGCACCGGCTCTAAGAATGACTCTTTGCTTAAGTTCCAAACATGCAACCAAATCTAGACAACTTTTACCGGATGAGTCTGGTGTTGCTAAAACCAAATATCTCAGCTCATCTTGGAATTGATAAATGATGTTAAATATATTTTCACGGCGGTTTAAAATTGCAATATGGAATACATTTTGTCCATCATCGTTCTTCGCTGTAATCACATCAGGAAATGCCGCAAAAATCTCTTCAATAATTTCGGGAATCCCAACTCTCGCAGCAATAAATATGGATGTTTGAAATATCTCCTTTGCTTTAGAGTACTCTAACTTCACAACTTCCTTGCACAGATGTTTGACGAGTTTAAGTGCTTGATTGTGTATCCATTTTATCTCTTGAACGCCCTTGCTCTGTGGCACTGTGATTTCAAAAAAATAATAATAAAATAAAAAATTACCAATTGGTGGCTCCGTTACGATAGTCTTAGTGAGAAAGACTCAAGTTGACCCAGACAACCCGATCGACCCTAAAATATTTGGGTTGGGCTTCATGGGTTGAAGTTCGAATTCGAGTTATATCCGGCCAGCCCAACTCAATCCAAAGCTGGGTTGGAGTTGGACTCGGGTTGACCCAATCAACCTGACCGGCCCAAAAATATTTGAGTTGGACTTCATGGATTGAAGCCTGAATTCAAATTACCTTGGACCAGCTCAATCCAACCCAAAGCCAAGTTAAGATTGGGCTGGGTTGGGCCAGCCCAAGTTGCACCCTGGACTCAACCAAACTGTAAACTACCGGATGCAACAAACTAAAGTGGCTGCTTACGTGTTCCGGTGAGTTTCCACAATATATAATGCAACTTTTGCTTGGCTGCATGTACAACAAAAGCAAAAATAAGAAATAATGAATACAATTTTTATTTTTAATTATTTTTAATTTTTTTTGGGGAAATTGAATGCAATAACTTCACCATTCACTTTAAATAATTTTTTTTTTCTTTTATAAATTTAATTTAATTGATAAGAAATTCAGACTCACATTTCTTCAACCCTCGTGGACCTCTCGGAAGGTTAAAAAATATGAAATGCATGGTGATTTTGAATGTCATCTCAGTAGTTATTTTTATTTTTATTTTTTTTGGGACTAAATATAATAATAATATACCAACCTTTCAAATAATAATAATATACCATTTATTATAGTATTTGCATCCCTTCTATAATCAGGAATATTATTATAGATTATTTTTCATATAATGATAACTAATTCAAAAATCGAATATCTCCGACTAATTTATGTGAATGAGAAATGACATTATCATTATTGTATTTTACGTAAATGAGAAATAACATTATCATTACTGTAATTCTCTAGGCTAACAACATTGTAGTATTTCTATAAATGATATCATAAAATGAAGTCTTACCATAATCCGATAAAGAAACGAAGCTATTGACTGGATTCTCAATGTCTCCTCGACTCCTTCGATGTGCAGCGTCTACTAACTTTAGGGGTGCATCTAAATGGGAGAACAATAAATTAGTTATTCTTGTGCAAATGTGAAAAGTGAGAATTCGAGTAAATGAGTATGTCTTTTTTTTTTTTTTTTTTTTTTTGGTTAAAATGAGTATGTCTTGCTAATGAAAAAAATTGACTTAATTTGCTTTACAAAACTCTACTGAATTTATAAAAACTACAGTAATAGAGTTGATTAATGGTCTATTTAAACATTTTTTTAAAAAAATAAAAGTTATAATTTCTTATATTGAATCAATCTAATACTTTTATTTTATTTCTTTAAATTTTTTTTTTTTGGCTTTAAGTGTGTTTTGGTGTCTTTGTCATTGTAGGCAGGAACAGTCAGTAAAAATGCATATTCGCATATAATACCCATATGTATGTTTAAATAAAAAACACTCCCCTTTTCATGAATATTTCAGACCTATAGAATAATACTCATATTTTTCAGATCCATCGGTTATATAATACATGTATTAAACTTTTTATATATCATATAAGGAAGTTGATATTGGGGCTCCATATATATACTCTTGCACTCCACTACACCTTCATATTTTAATAAATATAATGACCAAACTATTCAATATCTACTATGAACTTTGTTTTCTTGGTTTGTCATTTGTTAACAGTTCCCTCTATTCTTTTTAAAAATGAAATTTCTCTCTATTTTATTGTTAAAACTTAACTTCATCGTAGAATTAAAATGTATTGAATCGAATTAATAGAAAATAAATTGAGTTGTCTTGCTGCTAAAGAATAATAATAATAATATATATATATATATATAGATATATATATATATATAGTCGGAATTGCCTATTTTCTAGTGCCAACAAAGGTGGCCCCGCCACCCCTACTACCACTTGCGGCTGCCAAGGCCGTGTTTTTTCTTTGGCAGAGCAACTGATCCAACTCCAATACTGCATTCACTCCAATCCTTCCAGTATCTCGATCACTCTCTCGTTCTTGTTATGAATTTTTTTATTTGGTCTTTAACAATTATGCTCCTTTTCATTACAGTTTGAGTTTTTTTGGAGTGGATCTATATATAGTCCTGCTAATTTTATGCATGTATCTGTTCGGTCATGTGATGGTTTGGGAGGATTTTTTTTTTTGTACTTCACACACACACATGAAACATGGGATCTATTACTCTAATTTTATTTTATTTTTTTTTTACAAATCATAAAATATATATATCTTTTTTTTTTTCTTTTTGATTCTTCTATAGCAGCAAGTCTGTAACTCAATTTATTTTCTAGGATTCTTTGGTTAGCGTGAAATAGGTAGAAAGGAAAAGAAACGTAACAGAAAATTAATTTTAGGAGTTTGGTTACCTGGAAAGGGAAAATTTTTGAAAAAGTGAGATTTCCGCATCAATAAATTTTTTTAAAATATTTTCCCACATAAAACACAAGAAAGTTTACTATTTTGCACAAAACGGTCATTTTATTTCCAAATTTCCTAATATGCCCAGTTGTTTCTCATATATATATATACTTTTCACATAACAAATATAGCGTGGTTATTAAATTTAGACTTAGAAAATATTCTAACAACTATTATATATTGGGACACATAATTTGATTATTTGACATAACAATATTATATGGATGGAAATCAATATAATATTTATTTTTTACTATTTAAATATGAAAGGGGACTAATAAATTATGAATGAACCATAAAATTATTATGCATGAATAATAAAATATGTTACTTTTGCATGACAATTTTTATCCTAGAGTTGTCATTTAATATTTCTTCGAGGGGCTTAAAAAAAGATATATTTAATAATTCAATAAAATATGAGTATGTTATCATAAATGAACTATATTCTACCTATAAATATAAATAATTATTATTGAAAACATAAAATAAAAAGGGTATGACAACTAAAATGCATTCCTTCTTAGTTTGTCTAATTTAAATATGAA